GCTCCACCAGGTTGTGGGGAGGGACATTCAGAGTGCCCCTAGGCACCCAACGGGGGGGAGCAGGAGTAGTCGACCAGGCCACAGACTGTAATGGCAGGAGAAGCAAAGAGCCAAGTGTTTGGTAGAGGGGTGATTGGCATCAGACTGCCTGGGTTCAAAGCCCAGGGCCAGTTCTTACCACCTGGGTGACCTCAGCAAGTCCATTAGCAGCTTTGAGCCTCAGTTTATCCTATAAAATGAGGATGATAATAGTATCTACCTCATAAGGCTGTGATGAGAAATGAATTTCTTTCTTTCACATAAAGCATTTAGCACAGTACTTCAAATTGTAAACACCTGCCCCATCAATATTAGCTTATATGGTGTATTCTAGACAAGCCCTTCCCAGTGGAATCCCAAAGCCCCCTGCTAGTTGCTGAGCTGACCAAAGCAGGGAGGACATGGAGAAGCAAGCGGCCTTGCTGAGCTGGTAAAGTTTGGAGCTGCTTCCTGCCTCCCCAAATTGGACCCTCAAGGGCTTACATCCCCAGAGCCCCCCAGAGCCATGTGGAGGTCAAGCTTGAGTCATGGCAGCTGAACGGGGGACTCTCCCCTTTGCAAACACTTCCCGGGAAGGCGATTTCACAACTCCTCCGGACCGGTCCAGAATTGCACAGCCCCCACTGTCTATGTTTCCCTGTGGTTGCACATGAAGCCGGATCTTACAGGTGAGCCCCTTTGGATCTCCAGAGCAGAAGGGAAGTTAGCTCGACGTGTGAGCCTTTGTTATGCCAGCCCCAGACCTTCTCTTCAGCCTCTATGGGATCCTAAGCCCCTTTAAAAATCTGATGAGTGCCGCACTTAGACTCTTTTTCCAGAAAAAAGTTTCCCAAAAACATATGTTCATAAACCAAATTTTGCAAGATTCCTCATCTTTTAGGAAAGGTCCCTGTTTTAACTTGGTGATTAAGCTGGCGGGCTCTGAAGTTGAATTTCCTGGGTCCCAATGCTGCTTCTGTCATTCATTGGCTGTGAGACCTTCAACAAGTCGTGAAACATCTCTAACCCTTGGTTTTCTTATCCTTAAAATGGAAGCAGCAATAGTGGCTCCTTCATAAGGTTTTTTGTTTTGTTTTGGTTTTTTATAAATGTATTTATTTATTTTTGGCTGCGTTGGATCTTTGTTGCTGCACGCGGGCTTTCTCTAGTTGCATCGAGCGGAGGCTACTCTTCGTGCGGTACATGGGTTTCTCATTGCAGTGGCTTCTCTTGTTGCAGAGCACAGGCTCTAGGTGCGCGGGCTTCAGTAGTTGTGGCATGTGGGCTCAGTAGTTGTGGCTCACGGGCTCGAGAGCACAGGCTCAGTAGTTGTGGCACACGGGCTTAGTTGCTCTACAGCATGTGGGATCTTCCCGGACCAGGGCTCAAACCTGTGTCCCCTGCATTGGCAGGCAGGTTCTTAACCACTGTGCCACCAGGGAAGCCCCTTCATAAGGTTTTGAGAGGGTTAAATGTAGGGTGACTAAATTGTCCCATTTGGGCCTTTTCCATTTTTACACCGAAAGTCCCACTTTCAGGGAAATCCCTCAGTAGTGGACAAACCAGGAGAGTTGGTCACCCTTGTAAATGACATATTGCCCAGAAAGAAGTTATCCCTGTGCAGGCAGTTCACCCAAGTGCCATCGCTCTCAGCAGATACTATTGGGCTTTTCCCTAATTAATCCATCTGATAGGAATGTTGCCCTGGGGATCAGGAGTCCAGGACTCGGTTTTCAGTTTACCACTCTGTCCCCATCCTGCTTTAATGGCTTCCTCCGCAAACCTCCAGCCTCCCTGGGCCTCAGTTTGTTCACCCATCAAACAAGGGAGATGAACTTGAGAGTCACTGGGGATTCTTCCCACTAAAGCCTATGAGATTTATTCAGGGATGCTCTCCCAGTGTCTGGTAAGGCAGCCTTGAACGTGGATGGCATCAGGTATGCACTTGCCTGCTTGACACGTCAGTGAGAAAAGCCCACGTGTGTTCTAGCAACACAGTCTGCCCAGGGAGAAGCCTGCTTGGAAATTTCCTTGGCACTTCTTCCCAGCCGCACCTCCTCATTAGGGCTGAGAAAAGGTGGGAGAACACGGAGACCCTTTTCAGTGTGACTGTCCTGAGAATTAGGCAGCCCAGCATTTCAGACCCAGCACATAGAACAGAACTTGAAACATGGTATGTGCCCAGCAGACATTTGCAAGGTGAATGAATACATTTCAGTCTGATGATTGAATCAGAATAGCTTGGGAGGGAGAAGCAGTGCCCTCCAGAGGTGACTAACGGGGACTCCCACCGAACACCATGGATCCCAACCCCAAGAGTGCCCCTTTTCAGGTGACGCAGCTACTCCCAGACCCAGGGGCTCTAGGGGGTCTCACTGGATGAGTCAGCCCAGGGGAGGGCTGCCAGGTAGTTTCAACAAAAATGTTGGACATGCTCCATACTACATGAGAAGGTTATTGAAGTCCCTACTGCATCTCATATTTTACAGGGTTCCACGTGGCTCTTATTTTATTCCTCTTTTTGTTTCTTGGCAAATGGGAGCTGGCTTTGCGAGGCCACAGGATCCCTTCTTGCTGCCCCAACACTTGACCTGGGGTCTATACTGACCCTTGACATTGAACACACATCCACTCTGGAATTAGGCATAGAGATTAAGGCAGTTTTCAAAAACTTGGAGCAACAGATTATTTTACTGAAGAAATAAATTTATTCATCTTTCTAATAAGAGTTCTCAAGGAAGCTGAACATTCTGTCCAAGGTACCAACTTCCTCATAAGGAAAATTAGGGAGGTGCTCTTTCCTTTAAGCCTTAGCATCTAAGGTGAAAACATGCAGGTTTGGATTGATTTGTCACAAATCATGTGTTTATAAAAGGAAAGTGTCCAGCACACCCAGCAACTATATGAGGGCACCTAGGGGCTCATCCTGGCTGTTGAGCGAGAGGCCTGAGGTGATACAGAGGACGCAGTGAGGGGGCCCCTCCCACCTCTGGTGATGGAGTTCCCACTGATTTTGTGCTGGCTTCGTCGTGACCTGTATCCATCAGGCTGTACACCCACAGGGCATAGACTAGCTGTGCCTTGTCCACGTGCTCTGGGCTCTGCACTGCCCATTCCTGGACCTGGCCTAAGTAGATGTTCCACAAATGCTTCCAGAATTTCACTGAATTATCCCTGCAACCTGGGTAGTGGAATATTTACATGCCAGGCACACACAGTTCGGTCGGTGAAAGCTCTCCCACCTCCTGGCCATCTCGGAAGCGAGGCCTGTGGAGAAGGGCGTGTGTCACTCTGGGCTCTGGACCCCCAGCCAGCCAGTTCCATTGATCCCAAGGCTGACTCAGTCCATCCACTCACCCAGAGCCCCAGAGCCAATGCACCAAGCAAGTGGGGAGTTGGCTTCCTTGTTTCTCCCTCCCTTTGATCCCTTCCTCCCACTAATACTGGTGGAGCACCTGGTTGGCCAGCCAGTGTTCTAGACACCGGGGACACAAGACAGGCAAGGTCCCTACTTGGAAAGCTCTTTATTGAGGTGCACAGAGAAAGAGGTTCATATTTGCTTCTCAGAGAGATAAGGTGAGGGGACTCGATTACAAGTTACCCAGAGAAATGGATGTTTGCCGTTGTGGGCCTCTGACATCCATTCTCCCTTCCCTTGGTGCCCTATTCCACATTTTATTTGGATGCCCATCCTTCCCCCAGCAGCCTGTGGACTTCCCAGCCTCTCCCAGCTGCAGGTGTGGGCCTTGATTGAGTGAAGCCAGTCAGCACACCCATCCACCTGGCCACAGTGATTGGCTAACAGATGGACCTCAGACCCAAGCTGGGTCAACCAGACCAGGGGAACTTTTGAAGGGCCCCTGCGACATGTTTTCTTGATCATCTGGAGAAAGACCTACTGACTCTTCCGGATGGTCAGAGCACGGACATGGGGGACATGGGTTTGGAGCAGCTTTGACCCATTTGTGTCCTTGAGTGTGGCCAGGCTGGGGATGAGGTCCAGAGCCAGAGGCAGACAGGCCTGAGAGAATTCCAGAGTTGTGGAGCCAGTGCCCTGCTCGGCTTGAACCTCGGCCACCTCTGGACTCTGAGGTTACATGAGCCAACGCACTCTATTGTAGTTTGGGTTGGGTTTTCTGTAACCTCCAGCTGAGAGCATGCTAGCTGATCTCACTAAAGAGAAAGTTCCAATCAGGTTGCAAGGACACGACTGAGGGTTCCTTGTTCAAGGGAAGGAGACCAGGCAGCTGGTTGGTGACCCATTCAGGGAGTGACAGCCTTGCACCCCCAGCCCAGGGGAGGTGGGAAATGGCCCTCATTGCAGACAGAGAAGCCAAGGGGCAGCAGGTCTGGTGAGGGGAAGGCTGGTGCCGAGGTCCCTCCCCCCGAGCCTGTCTGGCGCTCCCTCAGTTTAACTCCACCTGACTGGTAAATGCAGAGTGCAGTCCACTTAAAGAAATCAGAGCAGCTGCCACTTCAAAGCAGGAAAGATGTGTGTAGGTGGGTGGGGAGGAGGTGGGTAATTATGCAGGGAAAATAGTTTTCTTGATATTCTTCTGGAAATGTGCTTGGAGCAGAGAGAGCAGCAGGGGAGACGATAGGAAAGGGGACATGTATTAATAGAGGGTGTGCATTGTGCCTCTCCAAAGGGCCATAGAGTGTGCAGAGCTTCCCATGCTTATCTGATCACGGCACCCTTTTTCGGGCAGCACCTGAGACTCCATGAGACACTCCTGGATGTGGGACTTCATCCATGAGTTGACTAAAGGATTTCTTGGGAGTGACTGAGTCCTCCTTTTGTGTGTGTTTGTACAAAACACTGGCTCTTCCTCATGACCAGTGGGGCTGGGCACCATTTGTGTTCCACGTCTGGACATTTCATGCTCTGGGAGAGGAAAAGTGAAGTCAGGCCTAGCAGGGGAGGGGGCTGCAAGGTGCTAGGGAAAGCCGGAGCTCTACAGGCCATCTCCTTGCCCCTTTAGGGATCTGCCCACTGATTCCACATACCCAGAATGCCTTGGGTGGCAGAGGGACACCACCGAACTTTGAGAAGCAGCTCTGAGTTTGTGAACATTGGATGCCGATAATTATCCAGCTGTGAGTAAGCCAAACATTTTTTAGGGCTATTTCTGCATAATTATAAATATTTGGGGATATTAAACTCCCAGGTTACGCATTGAAGGTATTATTTGAGCAATGGTTGGCTGCAGAGCTGGAAACGCAAACATCTTTTCATTCTTCCCTCCTAGAGCACTTAGATTATTTAATGGGATTCAAAAGAAAAAAAAGGTTCAGCTGAGGGGAAAAAACCTGGAAGCAAAGTCAGCTGCTAATATTTCTAAATAGCTCTAAATCAAAAAAAGAGGAATGTGACCACTTTACTTAATTGTGGTGGGTTTGTGATGCATTTTCTCTATGGGTTAGAAAAGCAATTACCATCAGGCAACCTACTTGTGCCTGCATTGTGATAAAATGTTCCCTCTAATGGGGCCAACATGCCGAGCAGTGGACCTTTTAAAGCACTAAATGCTTCCGGAGCTTTCTCACGTGTGAGGCTCCTGGGTGTGCGCTGAGAGCCCAGGGCTCCCTCCCTCTAAGAACCTGTTGTGGTACAGGGGTTTCTTAATAGGAGATGGGTCCTATGAAGCAGCCGCTGAGGTCTGGAGCATGAGCGAGGCCCCTGCTGTCCTGGCTCTATGCAGAGGCCCTGTGATGCTTTGGGGCTTGCCCAGCCTCCCACCCTCACACCCTTGGCTGCCCCATCTTACCCTCCCATCCAGTGAAGTCTCATATCTCCTCACCTGCTCCCCTCTGCAATCCTCCCACCACAGGCACCATCCCCATAGAAACATGCTCGCCTCTTCTTCCATCTGCTTTGTTAACCTGCCCCCTCCCACCACAGCTTCCCCACAGCCGCTGGGGGTTGCCGCTCATTCTCCAGCCGCCCCCCTATACCCCTGGATACCATGGATCCTGTGGCCTTGAACAAAGCCCCCAGCCTTTGACGCTCTTTCATGCTGCCCCCCTATTTTCCAGCCCTTGCTCTGGGCCCTGATTCACCCTTTCCCACTTCAAAGACCTGCCTTCATCTTGGGTAGCTTTAATGAGGTGTGAATGACCCATCCCACCGTCCAGGTCACAAGCTTCCTTCATGCCCCTCACTTTCTGCCATATCCAGGCTGCCATGTCCAGACTGGACCCTGTACAGTCTTGGCCACACCCAGCAGTCTGTGTTTCTCTCATCTTCTGCCCCCTGCCCCCCGGGAGGTCTCTGGTCAGCAGCCCCGAGGATTTTGTGTCCCCTCATTTCCAGCTGGGACACTGTGGCCATCCAACTACCTCCCTCTCTGGACCCTGAAGCTCATCATTGCCATCTCTCACTCCCAGGTGCTGCCATCTAAGGCCCCTGCCTGGGCAGGGAGCTGCTGCCTGGTGACACTACTAGACAGCGTGGCTGGAAACCTGGCCCCGGATTCCCTCCCACTCCCCCCAGCCCGCCCCACCCCACCACTGCTTCTGTCCCTAGTTCCTCGGGTCACACCGAGACACCCATGAAGACGTGTTAATGTACAAATTCTTCAGAGTAAAATAACCAGGGCTTCCTTTTGCTTGAGATGCAGGCAGCCCGCAGGGGGCGTCCTCTGAGACCCTCGGGCCGGCATCCCCGCTTGCTTCCACAGGGCCGCTGTGGGCGCGGTAGGCGGTGAAACCCTCCAACGTCGGTTTGGAAGCTCGAGGTTTCACCCACAAAGGTAGGTCGAAGCGGGACCGATCCGGGAGGCTGCGCTCCCCAGACAACGCGTAGAGCCGCCCGCGCCGGTGCCCGCTTCAGCTCACTATCCTTGGGTGGGGGAGCGGGAAGAGGATCTGGCACGAGGGGGACGAACCCACGTGTACCCAGGTCTTAGCTCCATCTGGAGTTCTCTGCCCCTGCGCCCGCAGGCCCCGGGCGCCCCCTGGAGGCGGTGAGAGCCCCGAATGCGCAGCACACGCCCAGGAAGGCGCTGGCTTGAACAACCTACCCATCAACTAGAAAAGTACCCCCATAAAAATGGGCAAAGGACAGGAACAGAGGCATTTGAGATGAAACACAAACGCCCAATAAGACATTAAGCTGATGTTTACATAGGCAGGATCTGTTGCAAGCCCTTATATGCATCAGCTCCTTTAGATCTCTCAACAGAGCTACTAGGGAGTATTCCCATTCCATAGATGAGTAAACTGAAGCACAGGAGACTAAGTGACTTGCTCAAGGTTATACAGTAAGTGGCAGGGCCAGTATCTGACCCCGCAGCCTGGCACCAGAGTCTTAGGGCCTTACTCACTGCACCAGACTGTTTCTCAACATGTGGAAAATATACGCTCTGGCTAAAAACCAAAGTATAAATTAAAACAATTCATTCAGTAAATTAATTTGTCCTACAAGTATTTATTGGATGCCCGTTGTGAGCCAGGCCCTATTATGGGTGCAGGGGAATAGACACTAAAACACACAAAACATTAAGTTTACATTCCAGTGGGGAGAGAGACAGACAGTAAACATGAGACAATATTCTATGGCAGGTGGGCTAGTGCATGTGGAAAAATAGCAGGGAAAGGGGGAGAGGGAGGGCTATTTAAATCAGGTGTCAGGTGGACCTCTTTGAGAAGGTGACACTTGAGCTGAGACCTAAAGAAAGGGAAGCCTCGTGATTATCAGTGAGAGGAGCATTCCAGGCAGAGGGAAAGTCCCTGAGGCCGGTGCTGAAGGTGCTGTCCACGTGGACAGGAGGTGGTAGGCTCCTTCCTGGCCTCCCTGGTCCATCGCCAGTGCCCAGGGCCATACGAGGTGTTCAGGGAGGACTTGCCTGCTAACCATTAAGTGAGGATAGCACCTGTTTTTTGCCCTGGGCATTTGCTTACTTCCCTGCAGCCGGTCCCATGTGACGACTGTCCCCATGAGTCTCAGCAGAGGGTGGGATGATCTGGAGACGTGGAAGGGAAGCCCCCACTAATATTTAGGTGGAGATAACTAACCCAGATTCTGGCCCTCTGAACTGGGATGGCAGCAAAAGTCAGCCCTGTAAAATGCAATGAGAGAGGTTTGATTACCAGGAGGGACCATCTAACCCATATCCCAGACTCTGAGAGGTCAGCCCACACAGGGGCCTGAGGGAGCCGGGGATGAGTGCGCTCTGCACATACCGATGGGCCCCAGCGGGATCCTGGGTGCCCAGGCGTCTGTGGTCTCTCTGCTTCACTAGATCTTGGCGGCATCTAGAATTCAGAAGTGAACTTCCCTTCAGTGAGCTCCCTGTCTGTTGCCCTGGGGTGGAAGGGCCAGGCCATGACTGTTATCTGCATGGCCTACTTTCCTCCAGAGACAGAAGCCCAGAGTAAGGTCAAAAGGAGACCAGGTGGCCCCGGAGGAGGCGAACCCAGTTCTTTCCCAGTGCCTGCCACTTTCCTTGCTGTGGCCGAAAGGCCATTCCCTTCCCCACTGGTGTGGCCTCATCACATCCCTTTGATTAGATGAATCACCTCTAAAAATTGCTTATGTTCCATATGGTGAACTGCTCTTTTGTTCAGCGCTGAATACTTCTGTTGATTCTTGTGTCCACCTGGGCTCTTTTGAGTCCTGCTTAGACCAGCTTATGAAGGGGTTTTCAAGATGAGCACAAACTGGGCCAGAACCTGGCACAGAGGGCAGGTGAGAGTGAGAGCCACTCTGGGGTCACTGGTTTCTTCTCCATGTCTCTCCCAGGGTCACACAGTCTCTCTCTGAGCTTGCTTTGCTCTCTTCTCTCTCCTGACCAACAGCTCCTTTGTATCTCCTTAACTCTGAGTTTCCTTTCCCTGTCTCCTAGCTTCTGTTTCCCGCTAGTTTCTGCTTTCATGTATCTGAACACACTATTGATCTGAACATCTCCTGACCTCTCCCTTTCCTCCTTTCCGTGCCTGCACCAGCTGCTAACTGCCTCATTGCTGGACTTCTTCATTCATGTTCCCAAGCTCACTCACCTATTTTGTGCCACGGCACATCATATGTCTCTGGATTGGTTGCTTTGGGTCATGGTCCCCTCCTGGTCCAATCAGTGGGGCCAAGAAGGGAAGGCACTAAGGGGGCCGGCACAAGGCTGTCTCTCCCACCAGTGCCGTGGGTGATGCAGGCACCACTATTAGACTGTCTGCTAGAGTCCCAGATTCATTAATTATTTTTATCTGTTTACTCATGCTTGAGTTTCATTTGTTGACCTTTGTTATTGTTGCCTAGAGGTCTTTTAAGGATCCTTAAAAATTCTTCAGCCACCCAGCTTGGTTCACTGTGGAGGCTCCTACCTAGAGGCCTGGCAGAGGGAGGGTCATTCATAGTAAAACAAACAGTAAGTCATTTCCCCTTCCCTCTTTAGTCTCACCTTTCATCAAACAAGGGAGAAGGAACCATATTTAATAAACATCATCCATTAGATTAGATCAACAGTCTCCGAACATTGCAATTCTTCCAGAAACAGTATCTCTCTTGCCCTCACAGAAGAGCATGTGGTCAAGAGGAAATTGAATAAAGTTCTTTAATCAGCTACAGTAGTATTTGAATCATTTAATTTAATGGATCTGACAACCACAATTTATTTTTTAGGCCAATTTTAGCCAACCAGGAGAGCTGGCCCAGTCTGACCCATGCTTAATAAATCACCTCCTTGCCTGATTGTAGAAAGTTTGGGGAAGAGATTTTTCTGGGGCTTTTCAAACATAATCAAAACCAATCTGCCATGCTGTGTATGCCTGGCAGGAGTCCTTGGCCATGCTCCCTTCACATGGCCCTGTGGCTGTAGAGTGAGCCCTCGGGCTGGAGGGAGCTAAGGACACAAGGCAGGGAGCTGTCACCCTCGCAGCCTGTGCTTTTTATTCCTGGCTGCAGGTTCGCATGGCCAGGAAAACAAGTCAAATCAAATTAGATGCCAGACACATGCTGCTTAGTGCATCTCACCCTCTACTGCCTCAGGCTCTTCAACACCTGCTGGAACCTCCTCATTGGAAAAAATGAAAGAGGAGCTTCTGATTCAAAGTAACACCCCCTGGACCCTCGATGTGGCCTCTACCAGAGTTACGTTAAGTCACCCGTGAAGTCCCAGTAAGGGGTGGAATGCAAGACCCCTCCTTCAGAACCAGTCTGACGTCAGCTGCATCTGAGCCCCTGGCAGGCATCTCCTCTGACCTGCCGGGCAGATGTGGTTGGGCTGAGAAAAACCCATGGGACTTCATTCTGTTCCTACTGCAAGCAACAGCCACGTGAAATCAAGGGGCTTGATTTCAGGCCAGTCTTCGCATTTTTTTCCATCTATTCCAAAGAAACAATATGGCAGGAAGGAGGCTAGGGGACCAAGGCAGGGCTGGTGGTCTTCTTGGGAGTATGTAGCATTCTTGGAGACATAGTAGTGATAAGTAAGTGGCATTAAGAAAGGAGGAATCTGGTGTGGGTCAGTGCATGCAGGGAATTGTAAGTTTTTCGTGAAATCCAGTTTCTTAGAGTTTCTTAGTTGGGGATGTATTGATGTCAGAATAGAACCATCAACAGCCAAGGTTACAAGGGGGAGTTGTGTCCCTGCAGGGATCCAGGGAAATCCTGAGCTGGAGCCAAATGTGAGAGCCCTCCAGGCCTCCTGGGAACTGTCCAGTCACAGGCAGCACCTCCATGGTGCTGGACCTGGGGCTGCTCACCCATTTTCTAGCTCTGGGCACCCCCTTCTCTGCAGATGAACCCTTGGCTCCTGCTCCCCCCAAAACCTGAACTCACACAAGCATGACTCTGGGTTCACTAATTCTAGTCATGACACTTGATCCAGTAGCTTGAGAGCCACTATTAACCAAGGAGACCCCCTTCTGGCTCCTTCATGGGGGTCTCCAGGGGACAGAGTGGCTCGTGCACTCTTGTCAAGGTCCTGGGCAGCCAGGGCCACTGGCGTTTGTCAGGAAGCCCCCCTGCCCCAGAACCTCCTCGGAGGGCATCTAAACAACAGCTGCCCATACTTGATAATGGGGGTGGGGACAGAGATTTGGGGGAGGGCTGGGGAAGCCCCTCCTCCCCTATTGGCACCCCAACCAGGCCTGACTTTTCCAATTAAACTTTGACTCTGCCATTTACTCCTATGTACCCTTGAGCCCTGTTCTGAATTTCTGATCCTCAAAAGTAGAACAGGGCTAACAGGAGCCCTTCCCTTCCAGGGTTGCTGTGAAAATTGAGATAAGAGTTCGAGGGCATAAACTATTTCAGAAATAATAAAGATAATAGATCTTTTTAACCTAGATGCAACCAGAGATCATAGAAAATGTAGATGAGTGTAGACTGGAGATACGATCTTGTTCTAGAAAGATGAATATGTTTTGAATTGCCACAAGAATGAAGTACATTTCGTTAAAGAAAAAAGTAAGGTAATTTATGCACAGCCCTACAAACATGACTCATAAAATAGAACTAACTATAAAACAGTTTCTCTTTGTCTCCCTTTGTCCTTTAAATGTACTTATGGCGCTACCTTTTCCCTATAGCCCCTGGATGAAATCTAAGCTAAATCGCCTACTGACCCCTTCTTCACCCCTTGGCTGATGTCTTTTTGTTCCTCCTGGAGGCTTTCTTGATCAGGCTATAAGACAACCCCATGCTGGCTCTCTCATGTCAGCAGCCACCTCTCATCCTCTGGAAGTGTTCGCTCCTCCTTTGCCCCCCTGATCTCTGGGCATGCAGGCGGATCCCGACGCGGCTGCTCTCCTAGCTGCACTGCTAAGCCATCTGGCCAGCCTGTCTCCTGCCATCAGGATTTCTCTGGCATGAGTCGCCCCAGTTCACTGTGTCCCTGAAGCTCCAAAGGACATGTCTTGAGCTTTCTGCGTGGTCTCACAGAAGCTCCTTTCCCCAAGCTTGAGGTGAGGAGCAAGCATCCTTCACTATCCTCCTGGGAAGAGGAGATTCACAGCACCAACTCTCCAGATATGCCCACAGAGCCCAGCACACTGCAAATGCCCAGTAAATGGCAGCCATCCCGGGCTCCTGATCCTGCCTCCCAGGGCTGAGGAAAGGGCTCTGTGGCCACTGGGCCTTGACTGCCCCTGTCCTAAGCAGTTCTAAGCCCTAAGTCCCAAGGGCAATCCCAGGTCCCTAAGTGACACAGTTATTGAGAAGAGAAACTGGGATTCCACTCCAAGCCAAAATTGCCTTCCTGGTCTTTGCCAACTGTCTCCAGGGAAAAGAATACTCCCCACCCCTACATTATGAGGGTAGGTGAGCAGGTGAGAAGAAAGGTGTCCCGGACAGCCACAGAAACATGGTGGATGTGGCAGTGTCCCAAGCAGGCACCAAACAACCCCCACATTGGCTGCCCTGCTGGATATGCTGTCCTGTTAAGGACCTACTCAGGGAGCCCAATGAGAGCTGAACTGTGAGGCCCCTTGCTCAGGGTGACCAAAGGGGTTTCAGGAGGTGCCAGGATTGGAGGCAGAATGAAAAACATGCCCCAGGAAAGAGAAGATGAGAAAGCTGGGGAAAGGAAGGCAGTAGGTGTAGGAGGGAGGGAGGACCCGAGTCAGAGTTGTCTTGGGCACAAACCTAGGGTCTGAGGGTCAGCCCAGAAGCCCTGGGGCAGGGATCTGGGTCCTGTTTTCGGAGTGGCCCCGGAGGAGACAAATGGTCTGGAAGGCAGTGCCCTAAGAATGTCCACACCAGCAAGCCTATCTCAGATGATTAAGTGGCAGCAGATAAATTTAACTAAATGTGAGTAATGGGAACACAAAGGGGAAGTGAAGAGAAATAGAATATTTTAGCAACATAAGGAAATGAGAAGAAAATGACTTTGCAATGAAATGTCAAACTTCTGTGCCTGGAGGAGATGTAATCTGGTCATTGCAGGCTTAGGGGAGTGGGGGAGTCTGTGGTTATTTCAAGAAAATTTTAATTCACTTTAATTTAATAACATATGGCCAGATTCTTTTGGGGCAATGTCAGGAGACAGAACTGGGAGTCAGAGAGTGCCAGCTCTGCTAACTGGGGTGTTTTTGGTTGTTTTACAAGGAGAAGCTGTACTTAAATTCATTTCACCTATCCATCCATTCATTCAGGGAGTGAATCTTAAAACCTGAGGATTAAGAAGACAAAAGACACAGTCCTGCCTACTCCTGCCCTCAGGAGATCCTGGTCAGTTGGGGTGACAGACAAGTGAACAGAAAGTTACAGGGTAGGGACACATTCTGGACCTAATACTTGATGCTCAATAGAAGTTTGTAGAATGAAAGCATGATTGAAAGGTTGGTTCTGAAAAGGCACCAAAAAGGAGTGAATATCAAGGTGGGTCTTGAAAGATGGGTTCCCCAGCTAGGCATGTAAGTCAAGGGAAGTCCAGGTAGAAGGGACTGCGTGTGACAGGGTAGAATGGACCACATGTAGCAAAGCGGTGCTGATTATAATCATGGGGCTGGAGGAGATTGCCCAGGGAGAGGGGCAGGGTGAGAAGAGGAAGAGGACAAAGAAGAGACACAGGATCCATGGACCCTGATGAGAAATAACACCCTGAGGAAGGCATGCACTGAAGACCTCCCAGTCCACTATTACTATCGCTGAAATCTCTACTGCAGCCCACAGTGCCTATTCATCCTTGGAGCTTCAACTGAGACATCGCATCCCCCAAGAAGTTTTTCTGGCTCAGGCTGGGGTGAGTCCCCCTTCCCCACGCATGCTCCCAGCACACCCTGTGCCACCATCCTTGTCACGGCCCACCCCAGCCCCATGTTGGGTTCGTTTGTCTGTATGCCTGCCCATCTCCCAACTGAAGCTGCCATGCCCAGCTCTGGTGGTGCCCCGACTACACTGGTGCCTCTCTGGATCCTGGCCAGGCTGTCCTGTCTATGGGATCCCATCCTAAGGATGGACAAAGTCCATCCGGAAAAGCGGTTCCAGAAGCTGAGGTCTGAATTAAGGGCTGTTGGCTGGGTCGGAGGGTGGAGTCTGACCAAGGGAAGAGTGTTTTAGTTCATATCACATCGAACTTTTGCACTTTTAGAGGGATTCTGGAAGTGCCCTGGGTAACAGCCCTTCTTATTCCCAGAACTCTGGCTGGGAGGGGTGGGTGGTTAGGGTTATTGGGCCTGGGCAGCAAAGCCAGAGAAACATGGCCCCAGGGCAGAGAAGCCGGAATGGTTGGACCGGCGGGACGGGGAGCGGGCCCGCTGAAGCCAAGGCTCAGGACGGGGCCTAGCAGAGAGGGGCCTGTACGAAAGCCGCCTCTTTCGACAGAGCTGCCTGCGGAACACGCCGCCCAAGGGAAAAATGACAAAGCTGTAGGTGTCCGGAATGTCCGCTAGGGGGAAACAGAGGCTAAGCCACCTGACGGGTAGCCATGGTAACCGCAGAGCCAGCTGCTGAGTTATCCCTAGACTCTGGCAGGGAGGTAAGGAGAACGCCCAAGCAGGGTGTTGCGAATGCTCGCGGGTCTGTGGCCATCAGCTCCAGGCAAGGACGAAGGACCCAGGTGACTTTAATGTTTTCTCACCTCCACCCAAGTCACACTTTTGCCGATTGAGCCAGGCATAGCAGTTGTGGAAGAAAAATAAAATGGGGTTTTGGATCAGCCAAACCAGATCCTTCATTTTAAAGATGAAATAGAAACCCAGAGAGGGAAAGACACTTGCTGGAGACCACACAACAGCAGTCCTGTAAATAGAGCTGAAGAGAAACTGGTGGAAAAAAGGAAGAAAAGTATGCAAATGACCAAAGACCAATCTGGCAATGTGCTCTAATTTTTTTATTACCATTTTTTAATTTAAAATGTTTTAAACACACATGTGTGTATGCATATACATAATGCTGCAATGTAACAAGAATCTCTTTTAGCCGGTCACATGCATCTTTTCCTTCCTGTACCATTTTCTTCCTTCTCCAATTAGGGTCTTTTCCTTCTCTGGGCTTCTATTGCTTCTATAAAATGAAGAAGCTGGCCTAGCTGATCTCAAACCCCATCACTGTCTATAATAAAGCAAAGCCTTCATTTCATGAACTCAGCCCAGTTAACTGGGCACACGAATAGGTAAGGACTTCCTGGAGTGAGAGACTGCTTGGCAGCCAGATGTCTCTGTAACTGGGCCCCTGACAGGCTAGCCCAGGTCCGTTGGGTTCATGTATCTGGTTGCAATGTTGGAGGACATTAGCCATGAACAAAAACTACCTCCACGAGAATATTTGAGAGTTAGTTAACTTGCAAGTTTATTTTTAAAACTCAAAGACATTAAGAAATAGCCTCTAGACACTCATCATGATGGGGAAAAAACTCTCAAATCCAAACATAGTTAATTCAGTAAACATCATTTGAGAGTAATCTTGTTTCATTTCTAGTCCCTCATTCTTTCTCTGCCCTCCTTCTCTATCCTGTTCTTCGCTCATTTTTTCTACTTTCTGATCTCTAAGCAAAGCCCCTTGTTTGGCTGCAAGAGCCCTCAGATGCCATTTGCATCTTGGAAGGCCCAATGGGATAAATCTCCCCACACAACCAACCATATCCCAAGGTCATTGAACATCCTGGTCTCAGGGGGTACAGAGGTATCTGGGGAGAGCCTTCCTTGAGTAGACATTTTTCATGATTCCAAACCCATGAGGGGAGCCTGGGATCAAACAGACTAGGCCACAGGGTCAGGGCAAAGATGGGATGCTAGGGTGCTCCTAGGGCCCATCCCGTCAACTGACAAATGAGGAGACTTAATAAACAAGGAGGCAAGCGACTGGCCTGAGGAGAACCTGTCTGGGAGAGCCAGATGGCTGAGCCAGGAGCCAAAGTGAGGTCTCCTGACCCCTGGCCCTTGTTACTTGCAGGGACTACATTGTCCCTGAGGTAACATCACTTGATTCTGGCCTGAGTCACCACAGCAGAGATGAACCAAGAGTCTGTGGGTCCCTTCAGCTTGGCTCGGGGTGGCTGGAGACCACCAGGGAGGTTTTGTGAGGCAATCTGGAGCAGCAGGGGCTCAGAAAATTTGAGCTGTAGGTGCTCAGTGAACTTTTGTTGAATTTAAAACAGTTTGGGGGCTTGTGGAGGCTTCAAGCTTGACTTGAGGGTGGGCTGGCAGGGTCAGTAATGGTCAAGAAACTGACCAAGATCAAACCTTATCAGGTGTCACCATGGGGTGTCTGTGACAAGGCCCCAGATGCTCACAACTCACTATGTGTGTCTGGGGGACTGAGTGTCCAGTTTTTCCCTTTTCTACCTTCCCTACCCTGTATGTCTGAGGAAAGAACTTTCATTAGATTGCACCAGAGACTAACTGGTACATCCATACAATATAATAGTACTCAGCAATAAAAAGAAATCAACTATTGATACACACAATGACTTAGATGGACTTCAAGGGCATTATTCTGAGTGGAAAAATAGGCCAGTCTCAAAAGGTCACATACTGTATTATTCCATTTATATAACATTCTAGAAATTACAAAAGTATAGAGATGGAGAACAGACCAGTGGTTGTCATGGATTAGAGAAGGGAGCGAGGCAGGTATCACTATGACAGCACAGGGAGTTCTTTTGTGGTGATGGTAGCTTTGTGTCTTGAATGTGGTGATGGTTGTATTATTCTATACATATGATAAAGTGCCATAGAATTATACACTCAGGACATTAAAAAATACATGCAAAATAGGTAAAATCTAAGTAAGGTTTGTAGACTAGTTAATTGTATTGTACCAATATCACTTCTCTGGTTTTGATAATGTGTTATAGTTACATAAAATGCCATTATGGGGGCAGCTGGATACTGGGTACATGGAACCTCTCTGTACTACTTTTTGTACATTCTTGTGAGTCTATAATTACCTCAAAATAAGAATTTTAATAAAAACTGTACTAGTGAGTAGCTTTATTCTGTTTTGAATGTTTTGAGTTTGGAGGTGGTTAGCGTAATGTATCATCTAGGACTCTAGTTACAAGAGTCAGAGACGCCATTTTAAACTAGCATAGGACAAAAAGGACATTATTGGTGCATGTGATCAAACTATGGAACAGCGGGGATAGAGCTGCACACACAAGTCCAGCTAATGTAGGAATCACACAGACAAAATCCTCTTTCTTGTTTTCTCTCTCATTCCCCTTTCCCATCCCCTTCTCCAATCCCCCATCTCCCATCCCTTCATAGAAGAGGGAGAAGAACTTCTCCCAAAGAAAGGGGATGCTGTTACTGAGATATGAGGGAAGGGATGTTGGGCAGAGGGGGAGAAAAGATGTCCATTACAGCATGTTAAATGGGGTAACATTTTTAAAATTTATTCATTTATTTATTCAGGCTTCACCAGGCCTTAATTGTGGCATATGGGCTTCTTAGTTGCAGCATGTGGACTCTTAGTTACGGCATGCATGCGGGGTCTAGTTCCCCCACCAGGGATCGAACCCGGGCCCCCTGCATTGGGAGTGCAGAGTCTTACCCACTGGACCACCAGGGGAGTCCCTAGCATATTAATTAATGAAAACAGCCCCTGAATCTATTAGAAATAAGGAAACAACTTGGTGGTACAGTTCAAAGTGCCAGTGTGGTGGCCTGCATGCACAGTGATCATCAGGTGAGTCTCAGTGCCAGCCAGGCTCCGGCCTGAAGACTAGTGGGTGGGTGGTCCACAGAGGGGCATGAGCTCTGGGGAAAAACTGTGCTGAGCCTACAGTGTCAGAGGCAGGCAGAAGAACCCATTGGAGGGCCCTTGGGACAGGATCACCGGGAACTCAACTGTAACATAGGAGGATATATGCACAGGGTTAAGAGCATGCCTGAGACAAGAGGCCACTTGAATCCAGGATCTGACACTTGGTAGCTGAGTGACCTTGGCAAGTTTCTTAAATTCTCTGAACCTGTTTCCTCACATGTAAAATTGGGATAAGAATACTTCATAGGTTGTTAAATTCAGTTGATATAGTGTATGTAAAGCACCTAGCCAGGTGAAAACTGCCAGGATCTGAGTTATTGTTATGCCGATAACTTTACAGCAGTAGAGGGTCGTAGTGGCAGGCAAGTGGCGCTCGAACCCAGCGCTCTGCCGAAGGACGCCCTGGAAGCTCCAAATTGAAGCAGGTTCTTTGGTCATATTTGAAGAGGAGGACCCGAGCGCTGAGACTCGCTTCCCCAGAGTCCCCCTCGAAGCTTAGCCAAAGATCTCTCAATGGAGGGCTGAAGCTACGCAATCCCCACTCAGCGCCCCCATCTTGTCCTCCTGGCTCGAGTGTGCCCAGAAGACAGGCGACCCGAGTTCCTTGTTGCTCCGGGAATCGCTGGTTCTCTGGCTTAACAGGGTCGGATTTGAGCGAGCTACTTTCGCCGGGTCCCGTCTCCCCTCACGAGGAGTTTTCGTGGAACCCAGCGGGTGGAACATTTTAACGAACGTTTTAAAGTGACTGGAACTTGGATATTCTTGTGTTATGGGAGAGGACCCAGCCAGAAACCTGGACCCATGGCGGGCTGAGTGAGGAGTTGAAAGTCAAGTTCAAGTGGGCATTAAAAGACAGAGCAGGTAACATGGAAAACATTTAGCCTTTGCCCTGCTAAAGACAAAGTTCTGCTGAGTCTCGCATCTTCTGCTCCCCAAACAGAGGGGCAGCCTCCCGCCCACCAGCTTGCGGGGTGTGAAGAGGCTTTGGGGTACCACTAGGGTACCTGGAGGCCCCCGCTGATCTCCCTGGCCCGGACCGCGTGCCGGGAACCTGGACTGGACCTTCAAGTCTGTCTTTTCAGCAGTAGGACTGCGGGTGTGGAGCAGATGCTGAGGCGGTTGTCATGGAGACAGGAGGGCGCGGAGAAGAATGTGGTTCTTGATTGGCTGGGAGGCTTGTTAGGGCCAGCGGGCGCTGTGGTCAACCCGAAAGTGCAGACCTGCTTGAGGAAACTGGCCACTCGGATGTCTGCGCTTTGCGGCCAGTCCACAACCGCCCCCTGACCTTCAGCAGCAGAGCCTGGCAGCGTAGGGCCGCGCTTCCCCTGAGAGGTGCCCCGACTCTTCCATCCAGAGGGCTGACCTCCAGATGAAGGAAGGGGACTGCGCCTGGGACCCAGGAACGGCGTCCAGAGTTGTGTGAGGCTGCTCTTGGACTCCCCGTGGACCATCCCCCCATTCCTCAGCGGGTTCGGCTTCCTCCCCAGGGCTCAGAGCCCGGTGGGACCTCCGGAGCGGCAGTCAGCTGACAGGCACCAGTTATGTCGCCCATCTGTGGTGCACCCAGACCTTAGGTGAGCTGGTTCAGGAGGAGGGTTAGGGGTGGCTCTGGTTCGGTGCGGCATTTCAGAACTGTGAGGAGGAGCCAGTGATTCCTCCCAAGTGTGTTCATCCTTCTGTTAATCTGTCTATGCAGAAATCCAAGCCAACCACCAGAGCGGTGTGAATCAAGGGGCTTTGCCCCCAAAATCTCCAGTTGGTCCCTTCTCAGGTTTTATAAATGATCCTTGAAATGGACAATTGGAAATTTTAAAATCTTAGGTTAAAAATGAATAAACGTATCTTTGCACCATTTTGCTATTCTACTGCTCTTGAGTGCATATGTACACTCAGCTCCAGCCCAGCTCGGGTCTCCCTCCTATTTCTCAGAGATCCCTTCTGAGCCCTGGACCTTGTCATGAGTGACATCTCTATACACACCTCATTCTTTCAAAGGTAATCTGTCTTTTCTCTCACTACTTTTAAGATCTTCTTTGGTGTTTTTCGGTTTCACTATGATATGTCTAAGCATATATTTCTTTTTATTTATCTGGCTTGGGATGTTGGTATTCCAGAATCTGTAGGTTTGTATCTTTCATCAGTTCAGAAAATTCTCATCCTTTATCTTTTCAAATATTACCTCAGTCCCCTTCTTTTCTTCTTCTGGAACACAGATATAACTCTCTGCTTTTTTCATCTTTTCCTTCTCTTTGTCCTTTTGTGGATAATTTCCTGAGGTCTAGCTTCTGTTCACTGTTCACTGGTTTTCTCTCCAGCTATGCCTAATCTGCTGTTAACTCTGTGTGTCAAGTTTTAAATTTAACTTACTGGGACTTCCCTGGTGGCGCAGTGGTTAAGAATCCGCCTGCCAATGCAAGGGACACAGGTTTGAGCCCTGGTCTGGGATGATCCCACATGCCGCATAGCAACTAAGCCCATGCGTCACAACTACCGAGCCTGTGCTTTAGAGCCCACAAGCCACAACTACTGAGACCGCATGCCACAACTACTGAAGCCCGCACGCCTAGAGCCCGTGCTCTGCAACAAAAGAAGCCACTGCAATGAGATGCCCACGCACCGCAACGAATAGCCCCTGCTCACCGCAACTAGAGAAAGCCCACGAGCAGCAACGAAGACCCAACGCAGCCAAAAATTAATTTAAAAAATAAATTTAACTTACTGTAGTTTTTCATTTATAAAAATTCTACTTGATAAATAAAAATTCTTATTCAGTTCTGTTTCATAATATTTTAACAATCTTGATCTCTACTCATATACTCAACCCCTATTTGAGTTTATTAAAATAATTTTTGAAATGTATTAGATGTATTATAGTAAATTCTGTGTTTGAGAATTCCCTCTATTTGATGTTGTTACAAATCTGATTATACAGTTTTTTCCTACTGTCATTCGTGGTTCCCTGTTTTCTATATATGTTTCGTGATTCAAGACTGTGAACACATATTTCTTAGGAAGGTAGTTTCCTCCAAGCAGGATTTGTGTTTGCTTCTGCCAGATGCCTGGAAACACCATTAACCTGGGACCAATATTAACTAAAATTTTAGCTTGCAGTTTTTTAGAGCACCCAGGGACTGTGAATTCAGGTTGCAAATCCACATGGGAACCAGCTTGTGGTTAGAAATTCTCAGGGGAAACATTTTCTACCTCTTCCACTCATTGCCAAGGTTTGAAACAGGCAATTTACCTTGCAGTCTCCACCAGGAGGGTGTTCACCCTTGGAGTCCCAATTTGAATTGGGGTGTGTGTGTGTGTATGTGTGTGTGTGTGTGTGTGTGTGTGTGTGTCTCCTATTAGATATCCTACTTTGCGTGGGATTTGAGTTTCATCACCTGGCCCCTGTGCTTACAGGACCATGAAAAATAAAGCTCAAGTTTGCCTCATTTGGCAAATGATTTCCAGGTGAGAACTAGTTTTCAGTGATCTGTCTACCACTCTATCAGTTTTGCTTCATTTTTGGCTCTGTGTATTCCTCACCAATTTTCTAACTCACCAATCTATTTTAAAAGATTTTTAAAATATTTCATCCAGCATTAAAGTTATGAAGTCACACTGGCAGAAATGGGGGTGCATTTGTGAGTTCTTTAGAGGAAACCCACCAATACCAGACTTGGGAGATCTGGCTCTGCTTCAACCTCTTCTAACCTCCTCAGCTTCTTCTCATACCCATGTAATTACACAGCCTCTAACTGTGGTGAGCTGCACCCATCCCCCACCTCCCCTGGGGGCTAAAGCCCAGTCGTTTTCCACTGCATCCACTTACTACACAAATAATGAAAATTCAGGCTACTCTTCTTACACTCAGCCTGTTCTTTAACTCCCCTTTCCCTTGCTTTGGGGAGGCCTTGGGGTAGTTTATAAACCCTCCCCTTCTTCTGGGTGCTCTCAATGTTTTCTTTCTCACACTTATCTTGGTGTGAGGGTAGAACCTCGCATTCTCCACTAGGCGGAGGGCTTGCTATTCTGAAGAATTCTTCCTTTTCGTTCCCATCCTAGTCTCCTTATACAGCCTGGGAAAGAGTGGTGGTGTTGAGGCAATGGTTAATAGAAGCAGGACAAATTTATAACACGGTCTGCTTCTGTAAGACCTGAGGGTGTCTAGCCCCAAATTTTTTGTCTTTTTCTTCCAGTTGTATTGAGAAATAATTGACATACAGCACAGTATAAGTTTAAGGTATACAGCATAATATTTGGACTTACATCATGAAATGATCATCACAATAAGTTTAGTGAACATCTGTCATCTCATATAGATGCAAAATGAAAGAATAGAAATAAGATTTTATGATGAGAACTCAGGATTTACTCTCTTAACTTTCATATACAACATACAGCTGTGTTCATTATACGGCTCATTGTTGTACATTACATCCCTAGTACTTACTTATAACTGGAAGTTTGTATCTTTTTGACTGTCTTCATCCAATTTCCTCTCCCCCTACCCCCGGCCTCTGGTAACTACAAATATGATCTCTTTTTCTGAGTTTGTTTGTATGTTTTTTATTCGGTTTTGAAGTATAATTGACCTACAACACTATGTTAGTTCCTCTTACACAACATAGTGATTTTTTTCTATACATTTCAAATGATCGCCACATAAATCTAGTTACATCACCCCAAAGATATTACTTTGTTATTGACTATATTCCCCACACTGTACATTTTATACCTGTGGCTCATTTATTTTGGGACTGGAAGTTTGTACCTCTTAATCTTCCTTACCTATTCTTCCCCCCTCCCCTTCTCCTCTGGTAACCACCTGTTTGTTCTCTGTATCTATAACTCTGTTTCTGTTTTATGTTTGTTCATTTGTTTTGTTTTTAAGATTCCACATGCAAGTGATATCATACAGTATTTGTCTTTCTCTGACTTATTTCACTTAGCATAGTACCCTCTAGGTCCATCGATGTTGTCAAAAATGGTAAGATTTCATTATTTTTTATGGCTAATATTCTATTGTATATATACCACATTTTTATCCATTCATCTGTTGATGGGCACTTAGGTTGCTTCCATATCTTGGCCATTGTAGATAATGCTGCAATGAACATAGGGGTACAAATATCTTTTCTAATTAGTGTTTTTTGTTTTCCTTGGATAAATACCCAGGAGTGAAATTGCTGGATCATGGTAGTTCTATTTTTAATTTTTTGAAAAATCTCCAACTGTTTTTCATAGTGGCTGCAGCACTTTACATTCCTACCAACAGTGCATGAGAGTTCCCTTTTCTCAGTGTCCTCACTAACAGTTGTCATTTGTCTTTTTTATAATAGCCATTCTCACAGCTGTGAGGTGATACCTCATTGTGGTTTTGATGTTCATTTCCTTGATGATTAGTGATGTTGAGCATCACTCATTTTCATTTCAACAGACAGCATTTTCATGTGTCTGTTGGCCATCTGTATGTCTTCTTTGGAAAAATGTCTATTCAGATCCTCTGCCCATTTTTAAAATTTGGTTGTTTGGTTTTTTGATGTTGAATTGTACGAGTTCTCTGTATATTTTGGATACTAACCTCTTATTGGATATATCATTTACAAGTATCTTCTCCCATTCAGTAGGTGGTCTTTTTATTTTATTGATATTTCCTGCGCTGGGCAAAAGCTTTTTAGTTTGATGTAGCCCCATTTATTTATTTTTGCTTTACTTTCCCTTGCCTGGGGAGACATATCCAAAAAATATATGTTACTAGAACCTATGTCAAAGAGAGTACTGCCTATGTTTTCTTCTAGAAGTTTTACGATTTCAGGTTTTACATTTAAGCCTTTAATCCATTTTGAATTTATTTTTGTGCATGGTGTGAGAGATTATCTGGTTTGACTCTTTTGCATGTAGCTGTCCAGTTTTCCCAACACTATTTATCAAACAGGCTGTCTTTTCCCCATTTTATATTCTTGTCTCCTTTGTCATAAATTAATTGCCCATATAAGTGAGGGTTCATTTCTGGGCTCTCTATTCTGTTCCATTGATGTATGTGTCTGTTTTTGTGCTAATACTGTTTTGATGACTGTAGCTTGAAATCAGGGGGAGTGTGATACCTCCAGCTCTGCTCTTCTTTCTCAAGATTGTTTTGGCTATTTGGGGTCTTTTGTATTTCCATACAAATTTTAGAATTATTTTTTCTAGTTCTGTGAAAAACGCCATTTTGTCTCTCTTTTGAACGCAGAAGAATTTAATCTCAGCTCTGAGTCCTGGTTTCCAATTCTGGGACAACAGGGAAATTTTCTCTTATTCCCTCATAGTAGTAAATGACCAATTGCTCCTGCTAACCCAGTGGTTCCCATCACATTCAAAGTAAAATCCACACTCCTTATCACAGCCTCTAAAAACCTTTGCTCCATCAAACCCCAGCCTACCTGTCCTACCTCTATGTCACTTACTCTCCCTCCCCCTCACTCTGCTACAGCTACATTAGGCATCAGTTTCTAAAACACATCGTTTGTTTCCACCGCGGGGCTTTGGCACCCTCAGTTCCTTCAGCCTGGAATTCTTTTCTCCCTCATGTTCCAGCAGTTGCCTCATTAGGTCTCAGTCTACTGAGTTCCTGCTTCAGAGAGGCCTCCTTAGACCGCTCATTCATATTTCTGAATGATGCCTTCTGTTTGTTCCACAGCATCATATTCAGGCGGCAGTGGTGGAAAGCATTATTTTTTTTTAATGTCCATCCTTTTGATAAAGCATGTAACAAAAAGAACATTTACTTGCAATCATATTCTACCATGTGAATATGTGATACTCTAATGTTAAAAAATCAAGTGTAAGTCTAGGAAGTTTTTAGACTATTTGAGATATATGAAACATAGTTATAGAGCTTTCCTGTTGGCGCAGTGGTTGAGAGTTCGCCTGCCAATGCAGGGGACGCAGGTTCGTGCCCCGATCCGGGAAGATCCCACATGCCACGGACCGGCTGGGCCCGTGAGCCATGGCCGCTGAGCCTGCGTGTCCAGAGCCTGTGCTCTGTAACGGGAGAGACCACGACCGTGAGAGGCCCGCGTACCGCAAAAACAAAACAAAACAAAAAAAACAACAAAAAAACCCCCCCATAATTATATAAATCTAATTCTTTGAGTTGAAATTTTCCATCATTTATTTATTTCCCCAAGTACAAAATCCTGAGCAATAGGATACCAAGTAATGAAATAACATGGCAGTGGCACAGTTTGCTTTTGAATACTGTTCGGGAGGCTACGGATTCATCTGAAGGTTTTTTGTTTTTTTCTTTCTGTAGTATCAACTATTTCATCAAGTATCTTGGCCGTAATATTCTATATGGTCTGGGGAGTCAGTGTCCAAACCTTTGGTAGTGACCCACGGATGAAGACGGCATAGAAGAGGCAACGTTGCCCCACTCCCTTCACTGTCTTATTCCTACAGCTGAAGTCAGTACGTGAAATTATCTTGTTGATATGTTTACGGTTTTTTTTGTCAGCCTCGTCTACAGGAGTGCATACTCGCTCCCAGAAAGCAGGATCTTTCCTGCCCGATCTACCGCAGTATCCCGCCCCTAGCAACACGCCCCTGGCACAGAGAAGACGCTCAGTGACTGTTACTGGAATAAGCGGACGCAGGAGTACTCAAGCCCCACCCTCCGACCCGTTGGGCCCGGATAGCGGTCCCCACTGGGGCGCCTCGGAAAGCGAAGCGTCCTACCAGGCAGTCTCCGTGGGACCCATGCGCGGTGGCCGCTGGGAAGTGTACTCGCGCGCCCGCCGCGGCCCGGCGGTTACGGGAGAAAGGCTCCGCATGCGCAGGCGCACTTCCGGCTTTGCCCCGCCGCTGCAGCCATTGTCCGGCCCAGGTGCGGCGAAGGCCGCCCCTCGGACTTCAGAGTTGCAGAGGACTGAACCGGCACCGGGGACTGGAGGAGCCGGCCCGAGCCCTGGGTGGGCCTGAGGTCTCGAAATCCGTAGTCCCCAGGAGGCGGTGATTCCGAGTGCGCGGGTTGGGGCGGCACCTCCCACGGGCTTTGCGCGTGTGCGTTCGGCCGCGCCCACCATCCTGCGGGTGGGACTGGGCGTGGCCGGAGGAGGGTGTCTAGGAGGCGGCGAGCGTTTAGTTTGGGGGAGGCAGGCTCAGCCAGGGCCCGCGCACCGCCCCACCTCTCTACCCTGGAGAAGTGGCTGCGGGGCGGAGGCGGGCCGGGCCTGGCGGGGCGCGGGCTGGTTGGCAGTTACAGCTGGCTGAGTGGGCCCTCTCCTCTCTCCCCAGACCCTGTCTAGGAGCCGGGCCCGGCGACGCAGGAATGGCCCCAAGGCCTCCGACGGCCAGGCCGCAGGTGAGCAGCCCGTTCCTACCCCGGGGCGTATTTGGAGTAGTCATTGTTCACTGCTTGAGCGACCTTCCTTTCTGGCTTGCTTGCCCCCTCGGAGCCTCCTAGCCTTGCAAAACCAAGGTGTCCAGAGCTGGGGGGAAAGGGCTTCCCCAAAGGAGGGCCGGTGGGGAGGAGGGGGACCAGGGCGGGGTGGTCTTGTGGGAGGAGTTAAGAGTGGATGTATTAGGAAGTGTCAGTGTTGAGAATCCTGAGGGCCAAGCCAATTCCTTGAACTCTGTCCGTTAGGAATCTAGAGGGTCGGGTGACAGAATAGAAAACTGTAGAGGGGAAAGTGACTGTGAGTGAAGGAGAGAGGAGCCCTAGCTTCTGACCCAGGGGCCATAGAGAGACCTTAAGGGACCAAAAAAGCCTGGTCTGGACTTGCCTAGGAAGAGCCTGGAGATGGGCTCTTCCCGGGCAAGGAGGAAAACAACAAGGGAGGACGTGTCCCGTAGCTTTACATGTTTTTTTCTGCTTTAACAGAGGTATAATAATGCACGTCCCCAGATGTCCGGCCTTCAGCTTAATTAACATAACGCTGATTTGTGAACCCATTTATTCTTGTGAGACAGGAGGCATTTTCTAGAAGCATTACAACTCTGAGCTTACCCATTGATTTACAGACTCTTATCAGTGAAAATATAACGAAGTTCAGATGGTATTTTAATCCACACTCTTTACAATTAAGGAAAAATCACAGATTCTAGTTGCTAGGGTGTGAGACAAATCAGGTAAAAATACCAATGTTCTTTAAAAGCAGTTCACAGTAAATTAAACACAGCATATAATGCCTTTATATTTTTTTACTTCTTGTTATATGTTTTTGTTTTACAGGGGTGAGCTTTAAGGAGTAAGACAAGTAACAGTACTAGAACAAAACAGTTGTTTTGTTTGAGGAGAGCCAGAGCAAATCACTGTCATCAGCACCTTTCCGTATAAAGTGTTTCCTCAGTAGGTTTTGAGAATTCAGATGACTTAACTCACTTAACACCTCATAGGGGTGTTGATCATTTCCGCAGCGTGGGGGTGGGAGTTGCCTTTTGATGTGAAAATGAATCTGTGTTCTGAACAGTGAACTTTAGGGACCTCTTTAAACTTCACTTTTAAAGCTGTGTTCCCAAAAGCACTCAGTTATATTCTCATGGAATGGCTGACGGTGTTCACTTGGGTTACCTGACTTAGGCTGCAGATGATGACTGGGGATGGAGGACAGGACAGAACAGAACACTGGCCCTACAAATGGGGCTTTTCAGGCAGAAATTTCCCTTTGTCAGTGGTTCCCCTTCGCTGAGCCTGGCCCTCAGAGGAATGCAAAAGATGAGCAGTTGAGTCATGTGACTACTTATCCAGGAAGTTAATTTAGTGGGGGAGGACAACCTCATGCAGAAGTATAGCACCAGAAAGGTGGTGTCAAGTGTTGCTGCAGAGATCCAGGGACTGCTGTGAGTGCAGAAGGGAGAGGAAATTCTGCCTGTGGGAAGAGTCAGTGGAGATTTCACCTTTGAATAGGGGCAGGGTCTGAGCCGGTGAAAATGAAGGGTGTGGGGGTAGAGCTGATTGACTGTGGGTCAGGGGTTGGGAGGCAAGAAGATGAGGGGCCTATATCCGAAACCATTGTCCTGTGTGACAGTGGGTGTGGGCTGCAGGCACTGCGTAGATGAGAATACAAGGGCGTTTGGACTTTTTTCTCTTTGGCCTTGGTAATCCATTCATTCATTCATACATTCATTCAGCAGATAGTCATTGAACCCCTATGAAGTGTTAAGACACTTTTCTAGGTGGTTGGTATACATTAGTGGACAAAATTTATAATGGTCTTTGCTCTCTTGGAGCTTACATCTTAGAAGGAAGAGGCAAGTAAGTAAGGAAATTGTATGATATCCTAGAAGGCATCAGTACCCTAGAAAAAAGATAAAAGGTAGGACTTCCCTGGTGGCGCAGTGGTTGAGAGTCCACCTGCTGATGCAGGGGACACGGGTTCGTGCCCCGATCCGGGAAGATCCCACATGCCGCGGAGCGGCTAGGCCTGTGGGCCATGGCTGGTGAGTCTGCGCGTCTCGAGCCTGTGCTCCGCGACGTGAGAGGCCCGTGTAACGCAAAAAAAAAAAAAAAAAAAAGATAAAAGGTAGAGAAGGATAAGGGGGATTGAGTAGGGAACTGGGCGCTTGTGGTAGGAGTGCTATTTATTTATTCATCATTTATGTCTGCTGCGTTGGGTCTTCGTGGCTGCATGCAGGCTTTCTGTAGTTGTGGCAAGCGGGGGTTACTCTTCATTGCGGTGCACGGGCTTCTCATTGCAGTGGCTTCTCTTGTTGTGGAGCATGGGCTCTAGGCATGCGGGCTTTCGTAGTTGCGGCGCCTGGGCTCTAGGGTACGTGGGCTTCAGTAGTTGCAGCACACGGGCTCAGTAGTTGTGGTGCACGGGCTTTGTTGCTCCACAGCATGTGGGATCTTCCTGGACCAGGGATCGAACCCATGTCCCCTGCATTGGCAGGCGTATTCTTAACCACTGGGCCACGAGGGAAGTCCAAGGAGTGCAATTTAAATAGGGTGGTCAGGGTAAGCCTTATCCTTATTGAGATGATACCATCTGAGCAGACTTGAAAGAAGTGTGGGAGTTAACAACATTCAGGTCTGGGGGAGAGTGTTCTGGGTAGAGGGAACAGTGGGATGTGTGTCTGGTGTATTCAAGGAGCTGCAAGGAGGCTATTGTAGCTTGAGCCAATGATTTTGAGCAGGGAACTGTACAGTTTCTTAGTTTTACAGATGGCTGTGAATGATGTGCAGGAGCAAGAGTTTGAAAGTTGGGACTCCTGTGGTTGAGACCTTCTCCCAGGGCTTAGCTAACGAATACCTAAAGTGGTCTCACAGTGGGAGGGGAATGGGAGCAGAGATGGGCCGGGCGGAATACCCCCAAAATCCTTGGGTTCTATGGATTGTTAGTAACTATAGCTGTGTAAACAACTATGCATTCTTTTTTTTGTTATATGTGTACTATGTTTTTAGTTAGGATTTTTTTTTTAAGAAGATGTTGGGGGTAGGAGTTTATTAATTTATTTATATTTATTTTTGCTGTGTTGGGTCTTCATTTCTGTGCGAGGGCTTTCTCCAGCTGTAGCAAGCAGGGGCCACTCCTCATCGCAGTGCGCGGGCCTCTCACCATTATGACCTCTCCTGTTGTGGAGCACAGGCTCCAGACGCACAGGCTCAGTAGCTGTGGCTCACGGGCCCAGTTGCTCCGCGGCATGTGGGATCCTCCCAGACCAGGGCTCGAACCTGTGTCCCCTGCATTAGCAGGCAGACCCTCAACCACTGCGCCACCAGGGAAGCCCTTAGTTAGGATTTTGAAAAGGTGTTTACCATTCTTTTTTTTTTTTTTTTTTAAGCATTCTTAAAAGTTGAAGCCACCAGAAACGTAAGAAATGGGGAAAGTTTTATAAGAAAAAGCTGCTTATGGAGACCAGGTTTCTTTGTGTTCTATCTTGAAGGGGAGGAAATGCAGAGGGACCAGGCCCTGGTCTCTATTGACTTCAGATCCCAAGAGAGCTCTGTGGTTCGGTCATCAGAATTGAACAGACCCAGCAAAAGCTGGCTCAGGTCACAAACTCAGATGAGATGCTCCAGGGAAACCAAGCCACTTGCTGAACCAGGTCAGGATGTTTGTGGCCAGGGATATTCAAGCTCCCTCCATACGGAGGTCCACTTTCTTAACCTCTTCCTGAGCTGACTGGTGTTGGTCTTTAAGCTTCAGCTCAGACCCTCCTTCCCTTGGGTAAGGTCAAGTGCCTCTCTTGTGCATTCCTGTAGCACCTATGTACACTTGTCATAGTAGTGTCTCATGCGTATGGAGTGGTGTGCTTACCCATCTGTCTCGTACTGGGCTTTCTGCTTTTCTAGAGAAGGGCCACCTGACTCCTTTCATCCTTTGCTCCAAAGTACACACACAGTAAGTGGGTGTCACATGAGCGAACATTAATAACCACTTAACCCCAGGCAGTGATTTTATACTTTCTGCATTTTCTGCTCGTCACATAGCAAAAATGTAATTTTTCCAGTTGCAGTGATGCTAATTTTCTGATAAAGCAATAGAGTGAAACAGTGTGACTTTCACTGTGCGCGGGCCTTCTCTAGTTGCAGCAAGCGGGAGCCACCCTTTGTTGCAGTGTGTGGCCTTCTCCTTGCAGTGGCTTCTCCTGTTGTAGAGCATGGGCTCCAGGCACATGGGCTTCAGAAGTTGTGGCATGTGGGCTCAGCAGTTGTGACTCATGGGCTGTAGAGTGCGGGCTTCAGTAGTTGTGGCACATGGGCTCAGTAGTTGAGGCACGCGGGCTTATTTGCCCCATGGCATGTGGGATCTTAGTTCCCCAACCAGGGATCGAACCTGGGTCCCCTGCATTGGAAGGCAAACTCTTAACCTCTGGACCACCAGGGAAGTCCCCTCAATTACAACATTTTAAATTTCATCTCATTTTTATGAGGATTTTTCTTTTGTTCTTTTAAATCACTTTTATGGTTGTATTATACTGCTTTGTATGATATACTAAAATTTATTTAACCATTTCTCAGAGGACATTTAGGTTGCTTCTGAAGTTTCTGCTATTACAAATAATACTGGGATAAAATCCCATTGGTTACAATAGATAATTAAAAAAAATTTTTTTTTACGAGAGAGATCTTTGGCAGGTTTTGATGGCATGCTTATCCTTAATTTGTAGAAACATTCAGATTGCTTTTCATCTTTTTCTGTCTTTTGAAAGAATTTGCCTATAAAACATTTCGATCCAGGATTTTTATAAAGAGGATGACTTGGGAACAGTTTTCTCTGTTTCTTCCTCAATTATTTTCTCTCCTTTTTTGTGTCAACATTGGTGATTTAGGATTTAAAAATTATCCACTTCACTAAGATCTTTCACATTTCTTAACACACTGCTGGGTATTTTACTGGTTTATCCCCTTATTTTAAT